CAAACCAATGTTAATTTTCTGTTTTTGTGGAAAATAATTACTTCCAAAGAAATGGGAAAATACGTTTATCAAAAGGAAATGCTAGTAACCGAAAAGCTGCTTAATGCAAAGACCCTAGGCTAACTACTAAAGTAGGAAAAATCTTAGAGAAAATAAGGTTTTCCACGAAATATGCCGTTTTTATTCTGTTGCTGTTGCCACCCAACAACTTAAATTACATTTGTCGGAAAAGTAATGGCGTGAAAAAAAAACTTTTGGCCAAAGAGCCATGATTTCTGGCATGCCTAACAGTTTTGTATTTTGATTTCTGAGTTTTTTTTTTCTCTTTTTTTTTTTTTTTTGAGTACACATTCAACACGCAACACTGATGAAATGGTGCTAAGTACTGACTTGATAACAGTGTTCATTAAAGTTTAATTATTGGTTTTGTGTTTTTGCCACAAAATAGTCTTTGATTTATGGGATGGTGGGTGGATAAGAACATTTTTGAGTTTGAACTTTCATTTTGTGTTTTAATACTTTAACAAATAGTTTTTTGTTGCGAGAAATAGTCCCGCATTGATGGGAGAATCTCACTATGTGCTCTGAGTTCCTTATCTACTTTCGTGGACTTTAGCCGTTTATATGAAAACTCTGCGTATGAGTGATGTGAAAATTATGAAATCACTCATACGTTTTGGAATTGGTGTACCAGACTATGAACTAGATTCACACAACCCTATATGCACATCCTTGAGGAGATATTTTTTTAAATATTTCCTAATGAGTGGACCAGTATTCTCAATTTTCAAATCAAAATTCACACTTCATATAATACTGATAAAAATAATGGCAAGTTATGGTAGATATAAGTATTGAAAATTGAGACCCTTTGTGGGGGAGGTACTAGAAGGGATGTGCAGATGTCTATCACATTCACACCCCGTCTTGTGTTAGCAAAAATATTGGGATGTGAGAAATTTGAAGAGAATCGAATGCTTATTTCGCATTTTATGAGAGTTATAATTATTCAAAATTTTGACCCCTTTGTGGGGGAGCCACCAGAAGGAGTTGGCCGATATTTACCATCTTCACATCAGATCGTGTATTGATCGAAATACTGGGATGTGTCAAATTTGAAGAGAATCGGATGCTTATTTTGCATTTTATGAGAATTATAATTATTCCAAAATTGTTACCCTTTGTGGGGGAGGTACTAGAAGGGGTGGTCCGATATATTCAAGCTTCCCACCAGTTCTTGTGTTAATAAAAATATTGGGATGTGTAAAATTTGAAAAGTGTCACATGCTTATTTCGCTTATTATAAGAGTTATAATTTTTCAAAATTTTGACCGCTTTGTGGGGAAGGTACTAGATGTGGACCGATATATTCCATATTCACATCTGATCTTGTATTAGTAGAAATATTGGGATGTGTGAAATTTTAAGAGAATCGAATGCTTATTTCCCATTTTATGAGAGTTATAATTATTCAAAATTTTGACGCCTTTGTGGGGGAAGTACCACAAAGAGTGGACCGATATCTACCATCTTCACAGCAGAACATGTGTTAATAGAAATATTAGGATGTGTGAACTTCGGAGAGAATCCAACCATTATTTAAAATTTTATAAAAGCTATAATTATTCAAAATTTTCACTCTTCTGTGGGGGGGTGGGGGTGGTACCAGAAGGAGTGGACCGATATATTCAAGCTTCAATTCACATCTTGTGATACTAAAAATATTGTCATGTGTGAAATTCTGAGAGAATCAGTTGCTTATTTCGCATTTTATGAGAGTTCCAATTATTGAAAATGTTGACCCCCTTGTGGGTGAGGTACCAGATGGAGTGGGCTGTGGGTTAATAAATATATTGGGATGTTTCAAATTGGAAGAGAATCTGATGCTTATTTCGCATTTTATGAGAGTTTTAATTATTCCAAAATTTTGACCCGTTTTGGGGGAACTTCCCGAAGGTGTAGTCCGATATATTCCATCTTCACACCACATCTTGTGTAATAAAAAATATTGCGACGTGAGAATTGTTAACAGAATTGAATGTTTATTTTGCTTTTTATGAGTCTTTTAATTATTCCAAATTTTGACCCGTTGTAGGGGAGGTACCAGAAGAAGTTGCCCGATATTTGTCATATTCACACCAGATTTTTAATTATAGAAACATTGGGATATGGCGAGTTTGGAAGAAACCGGGTGCACACTTCGTTTAGAAAGGATTATTCCACATTTCTAAGAGTTATAATTATTCCAAATGTTGACCCTTTGTGAGGGAGGTACTTGATGGAGTGGCCCGATGTGCTCCATTTTCGCACTCTAACTGAGTTTGACAATAATATTACGATGTATCAAGTTTGGACCAAATCGGATAATCCCTTCGACAGTTATCGTGTGCTGCAGCCAGACAGACAGATAGACGGACACCCCTATATCGACTCCAAATGTCCTGAAACGGATTTGTTCCAAAGGGACCTAGGGTCTAAAACCGTTGTTTGAATGAGACACATTTTTGGCCTTATCGAATGGTATATACCCTCTGTATATATACGGCTGAGGGTATAAAAACCACAAGGACAATCAAACCCAAATCAAAACAAACAAAAAACACGCTGAAATCCTTAAACATATTTTTAAAATATTTTCGTTGAAAAAATATTAATAACCGGGACTATAAGTCCTTGTAATAGATTAAAAATAAAAATTTTTCAGATTTAATGGTCTTCGGAAAAATCTCCGTTTTCAGGATTTTTTTTTTGTAGTCCTTGAAAAAATATTTTTAATTGTCAACGTTTCAAGTTCCTTGAAAAACAATTCTTTAAAAATCGGCTGATGGTCCATGAAAAAATAGTCCTTGAAATATATTCTCAAAAATTTCACGGTAGTCCTGATAAAATATATTTTGAAAATTCTCGTTTTTTAGTCCTTGAAAAAATATTCTTAAAAAATCCATAAATGTGGCACTGTTAGTGCTTGAAAAAATTTTATTTAAAGATGCAGGTCTGTTACCCTGATATTCCTTTAAAAATGAATTGAAAATTATTATTTGATATTCCTGATATTCCTTTAAAAACGAATTAAAAATTATTATTTAAAAATCCATGACCTTGATCTTGACAGTCCTTGAAACAAGCGTTCTTAAAAAATCCACGGCTGTAGCCCTGCTAGTCCTTAAAAATATATTTAAAAAATCCACCACTGTTGTACGGATAGTCCCTCAACATATTCTTTAAAAAATTCTTTAGTCCGGCTAGTGCTTAAAAATATATTTTTAAAATCCACGACTGTTGCCTTACTAGTCCTTGAAAAATATGTTTTAAAAATCCAAGGCTGTTGTCCTTGGAAAAAATATTCTTAAAATTTCCAAGACTGTTGTCCTTGGAAAAATATTTAAATATTTTAAAAATATTTTTTTTAAATCCACTGTTGTTGTTCTTGGAAAAAAATATTCTTTAAAAAATCCTTGAAAAAATAATCTTTAAAAAATCCACGTTCTATTGGTCCTTGAAAAAATATTCTTAAAAAAAATCCACGTTCCTTTTGGTCCTTGAAAAAATAATCTTTAAAAAATCCACGTTCTATTGGTCCTTGAAAAAATATTCTTTAAAAAATCCACGTTCTATTGGTCCTTGAAAAAATATTCTTTAAAAAATCCACGTTCTATTGGTCCTTGAAAAAATATTCTTTAAAAAATCCACGTTCTATTGGTCCTTGAAAAAATATTCTTTAAAAAATCCACGTTCTATTGGTCCTTGAAAAAATATTCTTTAAAAAATCCACGTTCTATTGGTCCTTGAAAAAATATTCTTTAAAAAATCCACGTTCTATTGGTCCTTGAAAAAATATTCTTTAAAAAATCCACGTTCTATTGGTCCTTGAAAAAATATTCTTTAAAAAATCCACGTTCTATTGGTCCTTGAAAAAATATTCTTTAAAAAATCCACGTTCTATTGGTCCTTGAAAAAATATTCTTTAAAAAATCCACGTTCTATTGGTCCTTGAAAAAATATTCTTTAAAAAATCCACGTTCTATTGGTCCTTGAAAAAATATTCTTTAAAAAATCCACGTTCTATTGGTCCTTGAAAAAATATTCTTTAAAAAATCCACGTTCTATTGGTCCTTGAAAAAATATTCTTTAAAAAATCCACGTTCTATTGGTCCTTGAAAAAATATTCTTTAAAAAATCCACGTTCTATTGGTCCTTGAAAAAAAATATTCTTTAAAAGATCCACGTTCCTTTTGGTCCTTGAAAAAATATTCTTTAAAAATCCACGTTCCTTTTTGGTCCTTGAAAAAAATATTCTTTGAAAAATACACATTCTGTTGGTCCTTGAAAAAATATTCTTTAAAAAATGCATGTTCTATTGGTCCTTGAAAAAAAATATTCTTTAAAAGATCCACGTTCCTTTTGGTCCTTGAAAAAATATTCTTTAAAAAATCCACGTTCCTTTTTGGTCCTTGAAAAAAATATTCTTTGAAAAATACACATTCTGTTGGTCCTTGAAAAAATATTCTTTAAAAAATGCACGTTCCTTTTGGTCCTTGAAAAAATACCACGTTCTATTGGTCCTTCAAAAAAATATTCTTTAAAAATCCACGTTCTATTGGTCCTTGAAAAAATATTCTTTAAAAATCCACGTTCTATTGGTCCTTGAAAAAATATTCTTTAAAAATCCACGTTCTATTGGTCCTTGAAAAAATATTCTTTAAAAAATCCACGTTCCTTTTGGTACTTGAAAAAATATTCTTTAAAAAATGCACGTTCCTTTTGGTCCTTGAAAAAATATTCTTTGAAAAATCCACGTTCCTTTTGGTCCTTGAAAAAATATCATTTTAAAAATCCACATTTTATTGATCCTTGAAGAAAAAAAATATTCTTTAAAAATCAACGATTGTTGTTCTTCAAAAAATATTTATTAAAATATTTCTATAAATTTTAAATTCCTAAATAAACTTTAAGGTTTTAAAATTATTAATTTATTTTTTTTTCTTCTCATTTCTTTCCAGAATTTACAAAATTATTACTCTAAAAAGTGGCAGCTTTGAAGTATGAACCTCATTTGAAAAAATAGCAACAACTTAAAACAACAAAACTATAAAAAACATAACATTTTATTCTTTGCAACAACAACAACAAAATAAATTTATAGATAAAAATGATAATTATACTCAAATTTTTAACTTAAATGAAAAACAAAAAAAAAAACAATACAAAACAATTTTTATTAAAAAAATCTATATTATTATGAATACGGCAAACAAAAAAAATAATAATCAAAATTTATTTATATTTATATAAACAGAAAAAAAAAAACAAAACAACAAATTATGGGAATATAAAACCGGAAGACTTTTCTTTAAAAGAAGTCTTCGAAGATTTTTTTCAAAAGCTAAAATTATATACAAAAAATAAATAAATAAAAAATAATAATATTTTTTGGGATAAATAAAAACACCACCTTATTAAAGGAAAATTATTACAAATAATTATAAAAAAACAACAAAATTTACTATTCAATTTCTATAAAAGAAATTCAAATTAAAAATAAAAATAAAAATATATATATTTTTGTTAAGCTTAATGTTATTATATATATACTTATATTAAAGTGAAGAGAAAAAAAAAACAAAAAGAACTTTTCAACAAAAAAGTGCAACAACCAAACATGATGAGCAAGAAAAACAAAACAAACAACAACAAAAACATAGTTTAAGTTTTTATTTTTACAATGCATACTATTATTAAACAAAAATAATATATATATTAATAATAATATCAATATAAATGTTAACAATATAATTTATATTATATAAAGTGGAAGGAAGGAAAGGAAAAAAAAAAACAAAACCAGTTGAAGTATACTTAATTTTTTGTGTTTCCTAATTTTTAAGTTAATTTATAATGAGACAAGCAAACAAAAATAAATAAACAAAACTTAATTATTATATTTTTAAAACCATAAAATATAATAAAAAAATTAAAAAATAAACAAATGAAAAAATGTTGAAATAATAAATCAATAAAATGGTTAATTATTGATAAAAGAAAATCAAACAAATGTTTTCAAAGAAAATAGTTTGACATATTTTTCGAGCCACGAGAAAAGAGAAGAGAAAGAAAATTTATTTCTGGCAAGAAAGAAGGAAAGATGGATGTTGTGGTACCGTAACGTATGAGTAACGTCAGCACTTATACGATCCATAATAGAAATAATATTTCTTCAATTATACACTCAGCCATATAGCTACTGAGGGTATATATCATTTGATACGGCCAAAAATGTGCCTAATCGAAATAACGATTTTGGATCCAAGGTCCCTTTGGACCAAATCCGTTTCAGGACTTTGGAAGTCGATCTAGATATGTCCGTCTGGCTGCGGGGCTGGTGCGCACGATAACTCTCGAAGGGTACATCGTAATATTTTTATCAAACTTTGATGAAGTTCAGTTATTTGCAATATCGGACCACTTCTTCTGGTACTTCCCCCACAAATGGTCAAGATTTTCACAGAAAATTATTTTTTATAGAACATGAAAGGACGATCTAATACAAATACAGGATGAGATAAAAAAAACTGCAGCAAAGTCAAAAGCCATATTTTTTACATTTTTTTTAAATTTTATTTAATGAAAGCAAAACATGTCGGAATTTCATCAAATTTTAGAATAAATTTAGATTTGTTCAAATTGGTCACCTTTGGCACGAATTATGGCCTTCATTCTTTAAAAACTCCACGTTCTATAGATCCTTGAAAAAATATTCTTTAAAAAATCCACGTTCTATAGATTCTTGAAAAAATATTCTTTAAAAAATCCACGTTCTATAGATCCTTGAAAAAATATTCTTTAAAAAATCCACGTTCTATAGATCCTTGAAAAAATATTCTTTAAAAAATCCACGTTCTATTGGTCCTTAAAAAAATATTCTTTAAAAATCCACGCCCTGTTTGCCCATTTTCCCAAATCTCCATTTCTATGTGGAGTATTTTTGCAATTACTTTCTTTTTTGGTTTGTCAACATCTTCGAATGTCCACGGTCTGCTTCCAAAATATTTGCGTGCTCAAGGCTTTAAAACACCCCTTCCAGAATATATTCGCGATAATTTTCGGCATTTATTCTGATGCCACGGTCGATTAATATGATCGGAGAGCGATCATCGACTGTTATGGCGGCCCACAAAATCACCTTGCCCGGCGCTTGAGTTCTGGTGGCCAACTGAAGGTGCACTTATTCAGCTGACCTCTTTGACAAGTAAACACGATCATTTTGTTGTTGTTTACAAACTGCTGGACAACGAATGTTTTCTCAGTTCACCACATTCGGCCAACTCTCGAAGCAACTCTTTAACTATTTTGAGTCTATTTTCTTTCTGTTGCGATGTAAGCTCTTGCACTTTATGGAATTTCAATGGCTTTACCCCGAGCTTATTTTTCAATATTTGCCGAATGGAATAATGCGATATGTTCAGCTGACGAGCCATTTTTCGGCCACTGCGACGCGGGTTTCGATCAAGTCGCTTCTTTACTTTTCGAACCATTTCTGCTGATGTTGCTTTTTTCTTACGTCCACTTCCATGACATCGGGCTACGCTACCACTATCACGGTAACGAGCGATGGTACGAGACACAAAATATTTATTCACATTTAAATGCTTAAAGTGCTCTAACGATAGCCACTTGTAGTTTTCCAGCCAAATATAAAGAAATCACACTATCACGCTTCAATTCCATCACGAATAACTTCTTTTTTTCTGGAAAATTCTCACCAAAATGCTTTTGTACGCTTGTAAACAATATAATGAGCTGTCACTGGAATAATTTTAACAGCTGTCGGACGAGTGGCTTAGAAATGACAGCAGTCTGAAGTTGGTTGCAGTTTTTTTATCTCACCCTGTATATCCAGGAACACCTTTCAAAAGATTATTACTAAAAATACAATTTAGATCAACATATGTAATCCCTTTTCCTTATATAGGACTCTATATTTCTCTATTTTATCCAAATATACATTTGTGCACAAATTTCCATTTCTATGTGGAGTATTTTCAACACACATCTGCTTCTGCTATTACTTCCTTTTTTTGGTATGTCAACGTCTTTTAAATTTGTAGTGCAGTTTTTTGTTCTAGCCGAGAGATTTGCATTTTTTGCTCTCCCAATTGTGTTACTCTCCGAATACATTGTTTTTCATCGAAGACGCGCGTGCATTGCGTGGCCCCATTCTAATTGCATGTTTTTTATTCTAATGTGACTTATGACCACTTAATGTCTTTACCTTATTGTAGCATTATCTCTTATTGTCCAAACATATATTCTTCCTCTATGAGCTCTACTTCATATATTTTACGTTATTCTTTTTGCAACAAAATGATTGGCGCCAAATGTTTCCAACTAATATCAAACAGGAAGGGATAGAGAGAGAGAGAATGAAAAATGCTTTCTAAAGTAAGGGCTGATGACATTTGTATGAGTGTGTTATGTGTGCATTTGCTCGGCATACGATTAGGCCATCCGACTGTCACAGAGACTCCCAGGGCTAGGGATCTCAACCCGCCAATCGAATCCAACACACTAACATTGAAAGGGGACTTTACTACAATTGCTCTACTCTACGATATACAAAATAGGAGTCATCATACAGGGATCTCGGTGGATCGATCCCACACTCGCCCACCCTACCTGGATCCAGTATTTCCATTTCTTGCGTTTCTCTGAATCCCCTTGAACCACACGCTTTGAATCACACACTTACTTCATACCACCTTCCCCCCTCAAGTTATACAAATTTAGCAACACATATTAGTATCTACTGTTTACAAAAGAATCATTTTTAATTTTATTAAAAAAAATAAGTTAGCTTTAAATATTTTCTTAATTTTTTTCTCTACTATTTTTTTTCTTACACTAAAATTGACAAACTGTATGGTATAAAAAAAAACAAATTAAGAATAATACCGGGCTTTCTTAAATCTATGGCTTTAATTACTCGGTAGAAACCAATATATTATCCTTTGCCTTGCTTTTCCCGCGCAATATTCCGCGTCTATACGAAATTACTAGCCACCTAAAAGAGCTCTCTTAACCGGCCTAATTGCCGCTAAAATTCCACGGCCTAAACTATCAGATCGAATCACAAGGACTCAAGATAATTTTACTGTAACACCTCCTAGCCTTTGAAAATAAACGCGGTATTTTTCCCTTACAAACTGATTATTACTTAAATCCTAAGAACTATAACCTATCTTATTACTAAATCTTTATACTGAATATTATATTTTTTTTTCTCGAAATTTATGATTATTAACTCTTTTTTTTTTCTTTTCTTTTAGTTCCAAAAAAGGAGACAGCAAATTTTATGGACGTCACATATATATAAATATATCAAGGACAACACAACGGTACGACACCTTTTACCTGAGCAGTGATTTATAACGTTATTGATTAATTCTTCTTATCTCTCCTTCCAGTTTACGCTTCTTTCCGGAGGAAACAGATTTTGAACGCCAGGCAAACCCTCAAATGAAGCTGGACTTGTTGACTGGTCCTTTTACAATGCCGGCGTTCTGGGCGGGATCAATAACCGGCACAGCAAAAAGCTCAAAGTTGCAGCTGGCCAGTTTACAATTCAAATCCCCACACCCTCAATGTAACTTTTTTTGGCTTTTTTTTTTCCTGTGGACAACTTGCCACTACCTTGCGTTACCAAAAAGAAAAGGCAATTTCCCGCCGTTGTGCTGACCAAAACCGGACAATTTTCGGTGCTTCCAAAAAAGCTTGATACACCACCGGAATATTCCTGTTGGAGCAACACACATCACATATAACAACACATTACTCAACAAACCACTGTTACAAACTACTTACACAATAAAAAAAATCGCAACACACAAATTAAATTTTTCCACTTCTGCACTGCTCTCTAGCTAAGTTTCACCGGTAACGTCTTATTCTTAACTTTGGCTTTTCTTATGCTCGCAGCCTTTTATACCCCTCTTCTCAGTGAATCCCGCCAGACGCTCATTTTCCACGAAACACCATTTTCCTGAGCCATTTTCAATTTTCATTCCTTTTTCTTTTCAACTGTCAATAGCCATTTTTTATTCTATTGTGAATTCTCATTTCACCTCACCCCTGAGTCTCTCATTTAAAAATCAACGGCTGTCTAACTATTCGCCCAACCCTTTTCACATACGTTACCAACTCGCCCAAACAACGCCAATTTCCTTTAACCTTATACGGCAGCGAGACATCAGCAAAAACATTTTAATATTTCTCTCGAAATCTTTTGTTTTTCTATTCTTCTGATATTTCTTAAATTTTTATTTCAACGTGCCGCTTTTTTTTTTTTTTTTTTCATAATCATTCATTCAAATTGTGTCTAAACAAATTTTGATCATATTTATAGTAGGTTCCCACCTACTCAGCAATCATAGGGCTGCCTAGTCACTTCTTAGCCTGAGTCACCCTGTCATTCACTACCTTTATAATACTCTTTTACTCAACCCTGTTCGAGCCTAATTTCGTACGTAGCGAACCCTAACAAACCATTTCCGGCATTTTGATCCCATCGCCACCCAGACTACACACCCCGCAGAAATTACAAGCAAATTGAAATCTCGAAGCATCCTCACCATCCTCACTAAAAACCCAAGAAAACTGAGCAAATCCATTTGAGGACCAATTATGGGATGCACTGCCAACAGAATTGGGATAATTTCTGCGGTGGTTGTGGACAGGTTTTGCCAAAAAACCCGGCCCCATATATTTGTTGCCTTTTTGCGCCGAATGTGAACGGCCTGCAACAAAACTTCAACTTCGGCCAGAAAATCGAGGACGGAGGTGATGTGCACGGCCGCATTACTCATTTACGTGGGGACATCCCACTCCCTGAAGGTCTCATGCCGGGCATAAGCTCCGAACAGCAGGCTGGTCTAAGCCCTCCCCCTCATGCTGGTAAGTATCCCCCATCGAAATAGAGCCACATAAGTTAATTTATTTTTCTAATCTGTCCATCAGATCTGTGAAACATGTCTTGCTGGTTCGCCTGATAATTCTCGATCCGACACCCTGAAAATATCGTGTCACTACCAAACATCGATCGAGTTCCCCTATAGCAGGTCAACATTTGGGAAGATCAAAAACGCTCATAAATTTTAAAATACGCATTCATTCATTTATACAATCCCGCATTCAGTATTTCTACTAAGACAAGCTCAGAGGAACGGATGGGATTTATCGGCCCACTCCTTTGGGACCTTCACTACAAAAAGGTAAACATCCGGAACAACCCAATAATTCTATCAACCCAAGACCTTGTGTGGAGTTGGAATATATTTGTCCTCGCCGGCGGATCTACACTGGTAATACCCACCAGCTCTCAATGAAAAATTCTCCGATTCCATCAAAATTTCACACATTCTTCTTGGTTGGATATAATCTTCAAAGTTGGAATCTATACGTACTTTGATACAAACATAATTTGATCAAATTATTGAAATCATGGTACAATAAAAAGGTAAGGTAGATCTGAAAGCTGATTACAATTTTTTTCCAAGTGTGCCCGACTTCTGTCATTATTGTGTATTATTTGTTTTGAAAATAAAAAAAAATATTTTCAAGGTCAATGTTTGGAAAAACGAACACTGCGTGGCCGGCGTTCAAAATATTACCCTGTTTTGTCCTGGAATTGAAGGATTAAACAGTTTGGATCACATTTTTGAAAAAAAAAATCCGTGCGTTCAATAACGCATTCAAAAAAAATAACAATTATCAAAACATTTTGTCGCATACAATTTTGCAGTATTTTGACAGAAAGCGGGCATAGCCCTAGGAATGTATTTCGGTACTTTTTTGTTTGTTTTGACCAATTAATAACTTTCATTCCTTAATAGGTGGTGAAACATTTTGCATGCGGAAATATTTGTGCCTATGCCTGTCTTGTCGTCGTGGTTGCCGAAGAACGGATTTTGTATGCGGTATATGCTGATGTGATTGATAGGTAAACAATTGCCATAATCGTGGTGTCTACGTGATTGTCTGGTAGAATGTAGTTTTATGTATGTTCGCTTTTTATGTATGGGAATCTTTCATTAATTTATGCCGGAATAAACCAGATTGTGCTATTTTTATCGCCACCGGGGGTGTTTAAGTACATTTTTTTTTTTTTCAAATTTGTATGTCGCGTAGAATATATTGTAAAAGAAATTAGACAGCTGTGATAAACGTGAAACTAGAGTCTGATTAACTTGAATTACCCAATTAGGGGAACAGATCAGCTGATATTTTTGAACCTTAATACGAATGAATTCAGTACGAAGGTGATTTTACTATCGTATTTAGTTTCCTCAGACACATTTTCTATGTTTTGTTTTGATTCATTCGATTTTGAATTAAACCATTGCTGATAAATGTGATATAGAATTGGTAACAAATGTGAAATAGTTTTTGAGAGTTATTTTAGAATTCTTTTTATAAAAATTGAATTGGGAAAGGGGATTGAAAAGACTTTCTTTTCCACTTATCTTTTAAGATCTTTTGCATGACAGATTCCAATCGCCTTTCCATTTAGATCTTCGAGAGAATACATATTATTTCCTATGGGCTTTACTATACGACACTTCGTAAATTTCCGGGCAAACTTAGCATTAAAATTTTTCCCAAAATCGCTAAGAACATAGTTTCTTTTATATACCTCTTGACCCGGAGAGAAAATAATCGTACGAGCCCTTGCGTTATACCTTTTTGCGCTTTGTTGATAAGCCTGATGCATATTCTGTCTAATTTTATTTCGGATTAGTTCCATCTTGTCGTTACGATCTAAATGTATAATTTCATGGTCCGCCAATGAGTGGAGCTTCCGAGCTAATTTATAATCTGAACCATGGGTATACATACTATGACCAAACAGCGCGAAAAATGGCGTTACACCAGTTGCAGTATGAATCGATGTTCTTAAGGCGCACTCTATGTCTGTTAGATACAGGTCCCAATCTCTGTGGTCATTTTCTAGATATGCCCTAATCGCCGCCAATACTGATTGATTGACTCTCTCAGATGCATTAGACTGCGGAGCATATGGAGCTGTTTGGATATGATTGATTCCATATGTTTCAATCATGTCTTTGAAAGTTTTAGATACGAACTGTGCCCCATTGTCGGAATGTATCGTCTCGGGTACGCCAAACTTACGAAATATATCCTCAACCATAAATTTTACCACATTGGAAGCTGTTGCCTCTTTCATTGCCTTAAGAAATGTAAATTTGCTAAAGTGGTCCACCACTATAAATATAAAGGCGTTGCCACTTTTAGACCGGGGGTATTTCCCGAGGAAGTCAACGTAGAGTTTCTGGAAGGGAAGATTTGTCACGACTTCATTTCCGATCTGAGGCTGAGTATTTTCATTGGTAGGCTTTGTCTCTTTGCAAACAGTACATTTAGACACATATTGCCTAACCTGGGATACCATTAGAGGCCAGTAATATTTTTCTCTTAAACGAAAAATGGTTTTTGATATGCCTCCGTGAGCTGACGTCGTTCTATCATGGGCTTGCTCTATTAAAGAATGGGTCAAAGACTCTGGGACCCACAATTTCCACTGAAACTCTTGTGTTTCTGGGTTATAGGACTTGTGATCTCTTTTAAATACCATATTGTCGACAATCTTTAGATCGGGGAGATTCTCCTTTTTATTTGCAATAATTTCTCTAAGCTGTTTGTACGAATCACTTTCAAACTCGGTGGTCTCGAATTCAAAAACCCGATTCATGTCTATTTCGTCGGCATTGGGTAGGCGGGATAGCATATCGGCGACAACATTTTCCTTTCCTTTTCGGTGCTCGATTTTGAAGTTAAATCCCTGAAGTTGCAATGACCAGCGAGCTAAACGACCACTGAGGTCCTTTAGACTCATCAGCCATTGTAAACTAGCGTGATCTGTTATCACGGTGAATTCCATTAGCTCCACGTAAGGACGGAAAGTTTTGATAGCCATCACCGCCGCCAAGCATTCCTTCTCTGTCACGCTATAATTTCTCTGACACTTATTGAGCTTTTTCGAATAGAAAGCGATCGGATGCTCATGTCCTTCGGCATTCAGCTGAAATAGAACAGCGCCGATGCCATATTCCGAAGCATCACATTGAATAAAAAAGGGTTTGGAAAAATCTGCGTGGCGTAACACCGGTGCGGAAGTTAAGGCCCTCTTTAAGTTTTCAAATGCCTCCTTTGCCTTGTCCGTAATTACGAATTTGGGCGATTTCTTCAGGGTATCAGTAAGGGGAGCTGAAAGTGACGCGAAGTCTTTAATAAATCTTCGGTACCATCCTGCTGTACCCAGAAAACTTCTCACTTCCCTAGCACTTTTGGGAATTCTAATTTTTCGAATTGCTTCTACTTTTTCGGGGTCAGTACGCAACATGCCTTCTCCAATAATAAATCCCAAATATCTCAACTGACGAAAACAAAATTTTGACTTGGTTAACCCGATTGTTAAATTCGCTCGGTCAAGGCAATCGGCTACTTCATTCAATAGACGAAGATGCTCGTCGAAATCACTTGAAATAATCAACAGGTCGTCCAGGTACACAAAGACATTCTCCTTGAGTCGTTGGGGAATGACTTTGTCCATCAGTCGACATAACCTTTGTGCAGCATTACACAATCCAAACGGCATCACACGGAATTGATACAATGGACGGCCTGGGACCGTAAAAGCGGTGTACGGCTTGCTTTCTTCGTCTAATTCGATTTGCCAGAACGCATATTTAAGATCCACGCTGCTAATGTAATGAGTTTCATCAATGCGACTTAGTATTCCTTCAATGTTTTGCAGGGGATATGCGTCCTTGACCGTGAGCTTATTTAACTTTCGAGCATCCAGACAGAAACGATTTTTTCCGGGCTTTCGTACGATAGTTGTACGATTGCTCCAAGGGCTTTCACTTTCCTCAATAACATTAAGTGCTAACATATTATCGACTTCTTGGTACGTGATAGCTTGAACCGCTGGAGACATTGGATAGTGGCGGTCTTTAACCGGTTCCGCACCTTCCACGAGCTTAATCGAATGCTTTTCTAACTTAGTACAACCTAGCCCATTTTCTTCAAAGGTCTTGAATTTTTTTACTATGCATTTTAATCGATTCTCTTGATCATTTGTTAACTCGTGAGGGTTGAGTTTGTAGTCGGGACCCGTATCAGTCATATCCCTGAAAACTTTTTCTATATTAATTTCAGCAGCTCCTATCACATCAGGGGCTAATTCGAATGTTCGCCAGAAGTCTATTCCAAGATATAGTTCTTGTTCCAATTGAGGACATAGATACAGTGTCATAAATTTTTCCTGCTCTTGGTATTTTATGATGGCTTTAATTTTCCCTAAAACATTATACTGTGTACCTCCGGCGGTGGTTACCCTGCTGGACATTGGTATAATTGGAATGCCAAGTTCTTCTATTATCTCTCGGCAATTTTTCCCTAACATAGTAACCGAAGCGCCGGTGTCTAGGAGCCCATTCATGATTTTTCCTTGCATACTGATTTCCGAGAAAACTCTGGGATCTGAGGCAATACCAGTTACTCTCGAAATCGTTTCTATCAAATATCTTCGCTGCTCACGCCACTTCTTGGATTTTTGTCTCAATTCAATAATTTTTTTCGGGATTACAGTAAACTCTGAGTTAAAAATTCTCTCCTTGACCTTAGCATAATTTCTTTGGCGATCTTCTAATGGAATGTAATGCCTCTGACCTGCAGAAAAATTTTTCGATTCTACACTACTCTTATCTCTAAATATATTATCGTTGTTTTTTATTAAAATTCGGACGTTTTTGGGTGTTAATTCTTCCGATTCACAGGGTTCTCTGACGGGTGTGTTTCCCCTGTCACTTCCACACCCCTTCGGGAGTTTCCCTGTTGACAGACAGGACACTTTGGGGTTACTGTGTCCGGCTTCCCACACCTATAGCAGAACAATTTCCGGACTTCTACTGGACAGTCCATAAAAACATGCCCCTTTTCTCGACAGTTCCAGCAGATAATTGGAACTCTAATTTGGCTTTGTATCCGGATAGCTGACAGCTCTTCACCAATATTCTCCTCCGGTACTTCTACAGGCTTTTCATAAATTTCATCATATATTTCATTTACTTGGCGGATAGGTCGCTGGGGGAACGTTACAGCTCTATTTTCGCGCCTAGGGAAATTTCTCTCAGCTTCAATACATTCTATTCGTAGCTGTTCAACCGACGAAATGGTCATCTGATATACATGTCGTTTTATATCTTCACGTATATTTCCCCTTAGGATCTTAATCATTTCGTACTCGTAAATAGGTTGAAGTAATCTAGATCGCAAAATTCCCATCTCGTGAAAATAACTATTGATGCTTTCATTTGGCCTTTGTTTCCTTTCTAACAAATCCCTGAGTATGTCGAATTTGGATTGTGGGGTTTGATACTGGCTTATCAGCGCTTCTTTAAGACCCACCCAATCGGTGTAAACATTACTTTGTCTATGCAGCCAATACCATTCTCTGGCTTGACCAGAAACCAGAAAGGCGAAATCCCTCAACACTTCAGACCATGGAATGTTATATTGAGCCTGCATGATCTCTAACCGCTTAATAAAATCCATAACTCTTAAGCCTTTCGGGTCACCACTGAAATTTAAACCAAGTTTATCAACTCGTATTCCTAGTGGTTCCACTCTAAACGTATTCGTTATCGGGCCAGTAAATTGATCTGATAATGGAGTTTGACTAGCACTCGGAAATTGGATAATTGGTGGCATATTCCTATTTACTGCGTCATTATTATTGTTTGACGTCGGATTAGCATTACTATTTGTAATAGAATTAGAGGCTACTGTGGCCGTTGGGGGTACAATTAATTGTTTACGCACAGTGTCGGATAGTTCTCTCATGCCTTTTGATAAAGAATCTATCATTTTCTTCACATCAGATATTTCTGTTTCGACCATTTTTTTAACTTTATCTTCCAATGACTTCTGGACAGACGCTGCTTCATCTTGTACCAGTCCATGTAAGTCGGAAGTAGTTGGACCATTATTATTCAAATTATCACTCACTGTTGGCACATGATTGGTATTCTGATCTCTTCGCATTATCGTGTCTGCTAGATCGATAAATTGCAAAGCACTCATATTCCTATCCTCATTCGCCATTTCGTCCGATCCTATTCGTCTTTGCTTACTCTGCTCTGGAAAATAAGTCGATCGGTTTAGGTCAAAATTTTCGGGTCTGCCTCTCTTATTTCTTTTACTATTGCGGGTATTGTAGATCATGACCTATACCCAAAATTTATCTTCTCATTTGTTATCAATTGAATCTCGGACGAAACCTTTTCTTGTAAGTAAGTTTTAAATTCAGTTAACCTTTTTTTCTAAATATGAAACATTTGCAAAACAAATACTTTTTATAAATACATTCAATTACAATTACACATACAAATTTTCAAATTTGACAATTACAACATAGATCTACGGGGGAAGTGTAATTTTCAGAAGCAGTGTGTGTGTGGTTTTTTTTTCTTTTTTTATTTATTTTATTTTTTTTTTTATTTATTTATTTATTTTTTTATTATTATTATTTTTTTTTTAATAATTTTAGTGCCCTTTATGAGGTGTATGACTCTTCCCTTAGACATTCTTATTCTTCTAATAAATTATAGTGCTTTGTTAACTTCGGACCCCTGACATATCTATTACATTTCATAAATGAAAGCTCAGGGTTTTTATATGCAATACTAAGATTTTTGCATCTCTCAGATCAAAATCGCTATTGCTGCTACTCGATGTACTTATTCCTGTCTATAATTTATTTGGGTTATTTCACAAAAACAAATTTTAACAGTAGGATTCTCAATACAAATTGTTTTATTCCAGCTCGGAATTACAAGCTATTGATTACACCCTACTTAGAACAGTGGAGAAAACGTTCCCATAATATATTTGATATAGTAATATCGCACTTCGTAACCCATCTCTCTAAAGTTCGGATGCATACTAATATCACAGAATATTATTTGTCAAAAACATTTTCTTTTGTCTATTTAAAATCTACTAGCATTCTATGGCTGTGTGCGTCGATGTTACTGCACAGAGTTACTAACCTAATATCACAGTTTAACACGGCCATGTTTGAGTCGCCATTTTTTACAGTGGTATCAGGTACAATAAAGCTTTATTTTAGAATATTGGGCGCCATCTCTGTTATGTGTGCATTTGCTCGGCATACGATTAGGCCATCCGACTGTCACAGAGACTCCCAGGGCTAGGGATCTCAACCCGCCAATCGAATCCAACACACTAACATTGAAAGGGGACTTTACTACAATTGCTCTACTCTACGATATACAAAATAGGAGTCATCATACAGGGATCTCGGTGGATCGATCCCACACTCGCCCACCCTACCTGGATCCAGTATTTCCATTTCTTGCGTTTCTCTGAATCCCCTTGAACCACACGCTTTGAATCACACACTTACTTCATACCACCTTCCCCCCTCAAGTTATACAAATTTAGCAACACATATTAGTATCTACTGTTTACAAAAGAATCATTTTTAATTTTATTAAAAAAAATAAGTTAGCTTTAAATATTTTCTTAATTTTTTTCTCTACTATTTTTTTTCTTACACTAAAATTGACAAACTGTATGGTATAAAAAAAAACAAATTAAGAATAATACCGGGCTTTCTTAAATCTATGGCTTTAATTACTCGGTAGAAACCAATATATTATCCTTTGCCTTGCTTTTCCCGCGCAATATTCCGCGTCTATACGAAATTACTAGCCACCTAAAAGAGCTCTCTTAACCGGCCTAATTGCCGCTAAAATTCCACGGCCTAAACTATCAGATCGAATCACAAGGACTCAAGATAATTTTACTGTAACACCTCCTAGCCTTTGAAAATAAACGCGGTATTTTTCCCTTACAAACTGATTATTACTTAAATCCTAAGAACTATAACCTATCTTATTACTAAATCTTTATACTGAATATTATATTTTTTTTTCTCGAAATTTATGATTATTAACTCTTTTTTTTTTCTTTTCTTTTAGTTCCAAAAAAGGAGACAGCAAATTTTATGGACGTCACATATATATAAATATATCAAGGACAACACAACGGTACGACACCTTTTACCTGAGCAGTGATTTATAACGTTATTGATTAATTCTTCTTATCTCTCCTTCCAGTTTACGCTTCTTTCCGGAGGAAACAGATTTTGAACGCCAGGCAAACCCTCAAATGAAGCTGGACTTGTTGACTGGTCCTTTTACAATGCCGGCGTTCTGGGCGGGATCAATAACCGGCACAGCAAAAAGCTCAAAGTTGCAGCTGGCCAGTTTACAATTCAAATCCCCACACCCTCAATGTAACTTTTTTTGGCTTTTTTTTTCCTGTGGACAACTTGCCACTACCTTGCGTTACCAAAAAGAAAAGGCAATTTCCCGCCGTTGTGCTGACCAAAACCGGACAATTTTCGGTGCTTCCAAAAAAGCTTGATACACCACCGGAATATTCCTGTTGGAGCAACACACATCACATATAACAACACATTACTCAACAAACCACTGTTACAAACTACTTACACAATAAAAAAAATCGCAACACACAAATTAAATTTTTCCACTTCTGCACTGCTCTCTAGCTAAGTTTCACCGGTAACGTCTTATTCTTAACTTTGGCTTTTCTTATGCTCGCAGCCTTTTATACCCCTCTTCTCAGTGAATCCCGCCAGACGCTCATTTTCCACGAAACACCATTTTCCTGAGCCATTTTCAATTTTCATTCCTTTTTCTTTTCAACTGTCAATAGCCATTTTTTATTCTATTGTGAATTCTCATTTCACCTCACCCCTGAGTCTCTCATTTAAAAATCAACGGCTGTCTAACTATTCGCCCAACCCTTTTCACATACGTTACCAACTCGCCCAAACAACGCCAATTTCCTTTAACCTTATACGGCAGCGAGACATCAGCAAAAACATTTTAATATTTCTCTCGAAATCTTTTGTTTTTCTATTCTTCTGATATTTCTTAAATTTTTATTTCAACGTGCCGCTTTTTTTTTTTTTTTTTTTTTCATAATCATTCATTCAAATTGTGTCTAAACAAATTTTGATCATATTTATAGTAGGTTCCCACCTACTCAGCAATCATAGGGCTGCCTAGTCACTTCTTAGCCTGAGTCACCCTGTCATTCACTACCTTTATAATACTCTTTTACTCAACCCTGTTCGAGCCTAATTTCGTACGTAGCGAACCCTAACAAACCATTTCCGGCATTTTGATCCCATCGCCACCCAGACTACACACCCCGCAGAAATTACAAGCAAATTGAAATCTCGAAGCATCCTCACCATCCTCACTAAAAACCCAAGAAAACTGAGCAAATCCATTTGAGGACCAATTATGGGATGCACTGCCAACAGAATTGGGATAATTTCTGCGGTGGTTGTGGACAGGTTTTGCCAAAAAACCCGGCCCCATATATTTGTTGCCTTTTTGCGCCGAATGTGAACGGCCTGCAACAAGTGATGCCATTGTAGTGATTTCTTGCACATACACTTAACTAGTAAAGATTTTAGGCAAGGAGGAATAAAGCGCTCTCTGTTTGTTTAAGCTCATTATTCTCTTTTTCTCTCTTATAAATATTTCATGCATATTATGATCAAAATGGCGTGTGAAAATATCAATTTTCTCAACGCACATGAGCAAAGGGTCCACGGCGTTTGTGTAAGTAATGCTATTCAAGCGTTTTCTTGCACATACAGGTTGTTTTTTGAAACAAAAAAATACAGTTTTTTCCTTAACTATTATCCCAAACTGTAAAAGAAGAAATGAGTAGAAATAAAATAACTAAAATATTCTCTCAACGCACATAAATAAATAACTGACGGCGGTTAAAATAACTTATGCTATTGTCAACCTTAACCTTTACGTGTCACTTTAATTGCAAAAAAAGGTGTAAAAATTTTAGCCAAGTTTGAGTTAAAAAAATGTGGCATTCCTTTGCAATCCACAAATCTGGCAGGGTAAAAGGTACAAGAGTGTTGCTAATGTTCGCGTTTTTTTTTTTTTTTTTTGTGGGCAATGTCGCTCCTCCTGGGTATATTTCTTTGAAAAGTTTCGCCATTATAAAAGTAAATGAACCCAATTTTCATAAATTGTATAAATATTTAGAACATTTGGGCCAATATGTAAAGCACAAATCGGGAATTTTTTAAACCACTATATATTTCGAAAGACATGGATTTTTGAAATATTTTTAAGCCTCTCTTGGTTCATAAGTTGCTATTTTTTTAATATTTTGTTCAACCTTCTGAATTTCAAATAGCTTAGCTTCCATAAAGAATTTTTGAACTTTCCTACAGTCCAAAAATTTTACTCTCAAAAAAATATTCAATATAGGAAGAGCCTTACAATACGTTTACGCTGTAGAGAATTTAGAAAACCCAGTCGGTTTAAGTTGTCAATTCCTTTGAATATACCACAAATAAATCTTGATAAAGAAGGTTAACCCCGAAAAAAGTTCTAACATAAACATGCCTTTATTGTAATGGAACCTTCGCTTTTTAAAAATTTGGGGGTAGCAGAATTGGTCATAAGTCAAGTATTTACATGGTTTTGACTTGTTATAATAATGACTTTTCTTAAAAAGAAGGTCTTCCACCATAATACTTCCGTATCGAATGTTGTTTACCTATGCAGGAAATCCGACAATATTTTTTTATTTTGACTGTAAATGGATGCATTTTTTTTCAATTCCAATTTATTTGTATTTTTATATAAAAAAATTTTAAATGTTAGCCGCTCTGCTCGGAAATGTGATCGTATGCTTAACGACAACACGCATACGTTACATGGTTCCAAAGCAAATATTTGTTGATCTCTTTTCATCAAATGACGATAATTAAGACAACAAAATTCTGCCAAGAATCCTTCCTTCAAATGCCAAACAAATATTCTCTCTCTTGGATAAAAAGAAGAAATTATGAAATCAAATTGTATATTGTCAAACTATTTGTAATAAAAATAAAACATTAAACATTATTTTTCGGATAAGTCTGAATGTGAGAGTGATACTTGTGTTAAGGGTGCTGCAATAATAACTAGAGAAAACCAAAACAAACATGAACAAAAACAAACATTAAGAAACCAAGCAACAAAGCAAACACACACGAAAACCATAAAAATCAAAACCAAGCAGAAAGAAAAAATAAGGAAATAAAAAAAGAACCACACAAAAAAAGTCCAAAAGCAAATGTTCTTCGGTAGAAACCACATGGACAGCAAGGCAAATAACTCAAGAAGTCTACCAAACAAACACACACCACACACATAGTGCAAAACAAACATCAAGCCATTGTAGAATGCCAGTTACAATAATCCGCAAACAAATAACCTACTATACACGCATCTAAACATCCATCCATGTTTTTGCAACAACTACAACAACCACAAAAAAATATATTCTACAATATTTGTGTTATTTACCAAATAAATATTTTATTTGCTTTGGTGTTACATTTACAATTTAAAAAGCAGAAAAAAATACAAATACCTACCTACTACAACAAATACAAGAACATAACTAAAAAATAAACATACAACCTACCACAACAACAACAACAACTACTACTACAATATAATTACTTAAATTGGTACAACAATAGAATGGATACAACAGCAAAAGAAAAAACAGAAACCAACCTATTTTAGTAATAAATATTTAAAAACAACAACAGCAGAAAAAATGCAACCACAAATTATGTTTATAATTATATAAACAAAACTAAAAAAACAAAACAAATTATGAGTACTCTTTTATTTATGGATAAAACATTTGGTAAGTACAGGATAAATTATATTTTTATTTCATTCTAGATTAGTAAGAGGGAACGTCTTAGATCTCTATGTTACAAAATCTAGAGAAAGAGAGAGAGAGAGAGAAAGTTCCTTAATTGACCAGAGAACAAACACTTTCATGCATGTGTACGGCTCTGGGAGAGTTAATGCATGAAGATAAACACAAAGTAAGAAGAAGCATTTAGCTATTCACACAGGTCGAGCAACAAGTGGATTTGGTTAATAAATAACTGCGTTTGGGGAAATAAAACCACAAAACCGAATGAAAATCAGAAAAAATTATTATGAAAATCCTAGATTTGGTAGAGGTCTTAGCAAAATTATAGAGGATAACCTCATGCTAACATATCATACACAATTTTTTTCCATAATATTACATTAACAACATCCACATTTCAAAATAATTAAAAATGAAAATGTCCTCCTTTGAAATGAACGCAAAACTTGTGTTCTGTGGCAAAAATATAATAATAATTGCATCTGACAGATGTATATTTCCTTTTCACAACAGATCTTGTTTTAGCAAAAATGTTGACCCTCTGTGGGGTAGGTACCAATATATTTTATCTTAACACCAGAATTTGGGTTGATAAAAATATTGGGATGTGTGAAATTTGAAAACAATCGGACTCTTACATCACATTTTAAGAGTTGTAATTATTCAACATTTTGACCCTTTGTGGGGATACTTGACAGAGTTTACCGATACTCTCCATTTCCGCACCTGACCAAGCACTGATTTGCATCAGTATTAGGATTTGAAAAGTTGGAGCAAAATCGGATTATCCCTTCTCTTTTTGTGCAGAAAATTATTTTAATATAGACATTTTGTGTGGAAGGTACCAAAATAAGTGGACCGATATTGCCTATTTCCAAACTCTACCTAAGTTTAATAATAATATTACGATATTACGAGCAAATCGGATACTCCCTTCGAGAGTTATCGTGCGCACCAGCCAGACAGACGGACATCGCAAGATCGACTCCAAATGTCCTGAAACGGATTTGTTCCAAAGAGACTTAGAGTCTAAACCGTTATTTCGATGAAGTACGTTTTGAACGTATCAATTGATATGTACCCTCTGTAGCCATATGGCTGAGGGTATAATTATCCCAGGGCAACCCTAATACATTTTTGTTAATGTCAAAAAATAAAATTAACAAACTGTAATCAATACACACAATTATTTCTGCATACATTCTATTTCATAAAAAATTGGTAAAAATTCTAACGTCAGCTTAACAGTCTCCCGCGGATTATGTACAGGCCTGAAAGTGAAGTGGAATTGTTACAAATCGTACAATATTTTGAGCAGATGCCGAGAAAACGTGGAGGGGATGAGGTAGGTCTAAAGATTTAGTTAAAAAATTAATATTTTACAAAAGTAATACATATATAAATTGATTATTACTAATTAATTAACGGAAATTATCGTTATATAACAATAATTCATAAAAGCCCAGCCATTTAATTTAATCTCGCACAATGAATCGTCAACCATATGATGAAATACAACTCTGTGTGGACAAAGGCCTTCTCTGTTATGTATAGTTTTCATAGTCCTTAGCTTTTGCATGGGTACGATTATGAAGCAATCAGCAATTACTAACGTAATCATCTTTGATACAGAAAATTTCAGATTCAAAGAAGAAAAAACAGCTTTAGAGTAGGGCCGACCATCATTCCATATTCGTGGGGTTAGGAAAACTGAGGTCGCATATTAAAAAATCTACAGATCCATTGAGTCAAGTTACACCTACTTTGGTGGAAAAACGTGGCTAGAGCACTTAGAATATTTAAAATTTTATACCGCCTGCTTCAAAATTTGACTTATTTTATACGCTGTTATTTCAGAGGGTCCACCTATTTTCAAGAATAAATCAAAGACCATAAAATGACATTGAATATTTTTTGAAATATATAATACTCCAAAAAATCAAATGGTTGGTTGGTTGAAAATTGCGACCACAGCCTCCGAAATATCGAAGAAGTGAACTAACCTTATATATTTTTTTAGTAGTCGGAATATCAAATAACTGCCAAGTGATGGCCAAAGTTTCAATGTACCAAAAATTAGGGGTATTGTTTATCGGATGAAAGTGCTGCAAGCTGAAATATTTTTTATAATGTGCCCCACATTTGTGATTTTCTCATTTGGTCTTTAATGTGTACACAGCATGAATTCTCCTTACGCCATACGACCACGCGCCAGCAATTAGCCTCTCTCACATAACTCAACAACTGTCACTCCCGTCGCATGTGATTGTTTTTCTGCTCAGACATTTTCACAGCTGCCAGCTTCTTTTTATAAGAAAATTATAGAGAAAAGTTGTAGTGTGCGTGTTGCGCAAAAAATATATTCCTTTACCGAAAAAGAAAAGGAATAATTAATTGGACTCAAGAATTAAACACAAAAATAAAGAAAAACAAATCCAATTGGACAAAGCATTGTGTGTGTTTGTGTGTTATTAACGAATTTATCGATTCAGTTTGCTCACAAAAAGTCGCCTTTTGTGAGCTCTTCGACCCGACGAAAAGAAAAAGAGTGTGTTTTTATTGATTTTCCGGGTGTCTTTGTGACACAATACAAACAGCCAAAGTGGATAACGTAAAGATTGAAGATTTGGTGGACTCCGATCCCGATATCGAGTTTATTGAAAAGGACAGCGGCATGTCGTCGTTAGGCGGTAGCAAGGATGAAACTCCCGAAAGAAAGACTGTGGCCACTGTAAGCACAAGAATTTGACCTTACCCCCACCTTATTGCATGTTGTTTTTCCATTTTCTGTGTAATATCAATCGTTATTTTCTTTTACTTCTTTTCAGACCAATGAACCCACAGTAACAGAGGAAAATTATGATGATGTAAGAAATAGAAAATTAAAATTTTATAAAATCTTAAGTAGTTTCATAAATAATTGTGGAATTTTACAACGATTTTTGTATGGTTTCTTATTCTTGATTAGTTTTGCTTGTACATAACCTCATTTTGCGTAATAGCCTGGCACTAGTGTTCACGGTTGTCGGTATGGGATTTCTGTGCCCAACAACATTGTTTATATCTGTGTCATGTTGAGATAGTGGGGGAAAATTTTATGCTTTGCAAGAATGGGTAATATTTGACCTACATAGGTTTATGTACTTACCTGCAATAGTCTATATTTACCTTTAATGAAATTGCTTTTAATTTCAGAAACGTTTTTCGCCTTGAAGCAATGTTTAAAAGAGAAATTATAACTGTCATATCGACAAGCCCAAGTACATAGTTTGGGTCAATTTTAGCTTTTGAATCATATGGAGGTTACCAATTAAGCTGCCAATCCCCCACGGCCGTCGGGTCCACTTATGCAAGGATTTTAGCCTAGTCAGTTAAAAGTAGCGCTGTTAGTATTGCTAGAAAAACGATTTTAATAATCCATTTCAATAATGTTATATTCTAGAAGCAAAATTGTCATTAATTCGAATGACCCATAGAGTCTTGCAGAAGGTCCCATTGCACTGACGCCATTCCTTATAAAACAGAACAGGGACCTACGCCGAAATGCAAGGATTTTAGCCTAGTCAGTTAAAAGTAGCGCTGTTAGTATTGCTAGAAAAACGATTTTAATAATCCATTTCAATAATGTTATATTCTAGAAGCAAAATTGTCATTAATTCGAATGACCCATAGAGTCTTGCAGAAGGTCCCATTGCACTGACGCCATTCCTTATAAAACAGAACAGGGACCTACGCCGAAATGCATTTCGAAACCACATCAGATGGCCTAACTAGCAATAAATTAACTTTTCCACGTAAAATGTACAAGAACTGACAGAAAAATAGCCATTGGAGCGGCACATCCCTTCCACAGAAGGTCAAATTCATACAAAAAAACATAAATTCACCCGTAAATCAATAAACCCAAATGTTGTTTTGAAACTGGTGGCGTTTGAACCAAGAATTATCCAATCTCCATTTTCCGATTTTTAAATAATTTTTTTTTTTTGGAACTAAAGTACAGAGAATATGACGAATGTTTTTAAAAAAAGCAATTTGTGCCAAATGGACCAAACCTTATATTTTCTCACTTCTAGTGACAAGATGAAACAATGGCCTTAGGCCATAAACATTATGCATCTATATCTTCGATTGCTGCCTCGTACTTTTTCCGTCAAAAATCGACTGCATGTCAGACCAGATCACTCGATCTCATAACTACTCCTTAAAAGGAGGTGTACCCTATTTGGTGCGAATAATGTACTCGCTTTATTTTTCAACTTAATCCACAACATACCTAGAATGACATTGGGCCTTGGCCGGGACTCAGTTTTGATTTGTGGACAAATTTTCTTTTGCTTAGCTGAATGGGTTTCCGTGCTCTTTGACTAATTTAATTATGACGTGTTTAATATTTATTTAAAACTTGCCTTAAGATGTGGGTACATCATGGCTGGACGGCAGGATTCGTGTGCAGCTCTGACGTCCGCTTATAACGTGTCACAAAATATGCCATGCGAAGACTTCAAGCAGCTAATCTAAACCTATAGTCCCAATACAAACATGTCGGAAAAAGGCGGTCGATAAAACGTCACACTTACCTCATCTAACTCTATTCATCTTCCCCATAAACTTCACTTTCATTATCCTCTATCTTCCCCCCCTTAAGGCGTGGATACATAAGCAGCTTGGCATCATATAAGTGAAAACGATGGCAGAATTTGAGTATGACTCTGGCATCGCTTAATGATATGCCATGCGAAGACTTTAAGCTGCTTATCTACACTTATAGTCCCAATACACATATGCCGGAAAAATAGCCGATGCAAAGCCACACTTCCCTCATTTAATTGCATTCATCTTCCCCATAAATTCACTTCCATTTTCATCAATCTTCCCCCTATTTAATGATGTTTTAGGCAGTATCATTGATGGGAATTCTAACAACAATTTCCAGTTCCATAACTTTTATAAAAAATCAATTTTAATTCATTTTTGTTTTATTTTCCAGGAACCCGATGAGACATTGGGTGAACGCATTATGGGCCTGGCAGAAATGTTCCCACAACCATTGCGAGACTTTACTGGTGGCCTTGTTAACTTCACAACCAGCAGCATCAAGGGCCTGTACAAGTTTTCATGTAACGCATCATGGATATTCTTTACCAGTTCCGTGATACTCTTTGCTCCAGTCATATTCGAAACAGAACGTGCCCAAATGGAAGAAATGCAAAAGACACAACAGAAACAGGTCCTACTGGGACCCGGATCTGCGATGTCAGCTGTTGGAGAAACGCCAGCATTGCCATTAATACGATAAATTATTTTTTATTAAATAATAATAATAATAAAGCAATTATGTTAAGACAAGTTTTCAAAATGTAATAGCAATGAGAATATAATACTACTTCACAACAGAACAAAAACAAAATCACAACCAAAAACCCCACAACAACAACAAACATCTTAAAAAAAACAAGTGTGCTATATTTGTAGTAAAGAGACCCGACATCATGTTCCCCGGGACTGGGAGATGTGGGTGTCCGTTTCTTTTTTGGAGAATTTTTAAACAATGTTTAAAATGTGCATTAAATTTCTTTTGCCATTTTTCGGTAGAATTTCGTCTGTAATGGCAGCATTTGTTTTTATATTTAATAAATACTATAAAATTTAAAAAAAAATCTATAAAGAAATAAACAAATTTAATAAATATTATAGTCGTTTATAGAACACAAACCTATAAACTTAGTTTGTTAATAATAAATACAAAAATTAAAAACCAATCCAAATCTATTGCATAGTCAAGTCAATATGAGATAAATAAATAAATACATTACTCCGAGTAAACAGCGGTGTAAAGAAAAACAATCAATAACTTGTAATAATCATTTTCACGATATCCTTCAAAAATAGCGAAAATTTCGAAACGTAAATAGACGATGTAGTAAATTTTGCGAAAATTATTAACGACAAATTTGTGATGAAGATTTGAACTAAATACGAGATTATTCGAATTGCTGAAGTTTAGTCCCCATCTCCATGGTGTGGGGGCAACAAATGTCTTCAAATAGCAAAGCTTAAATAAAATTTTATGCATAAAGTTTTATAATTCCTTAGGGTGTAGTTTTTATTACAGATGAAAGCGGATTCGTTTTATGGATTGACAACTAACATATTTGCATTTAAAGTTTTTTATTGAAGCTACTTTGAATGGGGTAACCGAATGCATGTAGAAGAGTTGGAAACGGAATCTTAATTGAATTGGAAAGTTTTCCAGTATCGAGGGACAGTGAAATGCTGGATACGATGCAAAATTCTCTCGGGCCTGCGCGCAATATTTTACCCTTCATGAGATGTATGGTATATTTAATGTGATATTCCGTTTGCAATACCTTGAAATATTTTAGCGAATATCCCATATTGAAAAGAAGAACAGATCACTTAGTAAGTCTGATCTAATAATCGTCGTTGCAGCATCAGATATCTGACCTCTAGATTGGCTGACAGTGTTCCTCACTGCTGTAGACTATGTGGAGCTGAAGAAAAGATAGAGACGATTGAACACCTTGCAGATGTCTCATCTTAACCAACAAGAAACATAGGCTATTTGACAGGTTGGAGACTATTATTGATAGAATTAGGTATTAAAATGAATGGAGGAACAAGTGGGTTTAAATGCACCCTCTTCGATTATTTTTACCGCAGATACACCTTTGGGTTTCTGAGAACGACGATACAAACTTTTCTTCCTGAAATACAGGCAATAATTTTTACATTTTTTTTTTGAATTTTATTGAAAGCAAAAAATGTCGGAAATAGCATCAAATTTGAGTAAAAAGAAGTTTTTTGTGATAGAAGTTGTTTTAAAAAAACTTCAGGGGAGAATATCCCAGACAAACAACAAGGGAACTGATGAGGATTGGTGGCTCTTTCCGAAACCTAGGTAAACATTACCATCGTTCTCCACAAGTTCTCCAAAAGTTGTTTTTATAAAAACAACAATAAAGGGATTAAGCCTGACCATTTTGCAACAACAAAATACTATGGTATCTCGAACAAACAAGCCAACACTGTTCTATTTTAGAATAAGTTTAGATTTGTTCGAATTGGCCACCTTTGGCACAAATTATGGCCTTCAAACAGCCAATTAAGACCGTCACATGCTGCCCGAATGTTGCTCTGCGGTATTTTGACCCATTCCCGACGAAGCGCTTGCTTGAAGTGATCGACACATTGGTATTTTTTAGTGCCAACCTTGCTTTCCAAAATACTCCCGACACAATAGTCCAACGGATTGGTATCCGGAGGTTTTGATGGGCATTGTGCGCTGGAAATGAAGCGAGGAATCTCATTTCGTAACCATTCTTGGTTGGCGCGTGCTGAATCCTGTTGGAATGTCCAAGGTCTTCGGCCAAAATATTTGCGTGCCCAAGGCTTTAATACATCCTCCAGAATATTTGGCGGAGCACACCATCACCATGGCTCGCGCTTAAGTTCTGGTAGCCAACGGAAGGTGCAAATTTTAACCTAACCTCTTTGGCAAATAAACACGATTATTTTGATTGTTTAAAACTGCTGGACAACTAATGTTTTCTCATAGGAGAAAACCAAAATCGGCAGTCCACCACTTTCGGCCAAACGAAGCAAATCTTTAGCTCTTTTGAGTCTATTTTCTGTTGTCGTTGCGGCGTAAGTTCTTGCACTTTTTGGAATTTCAAAAGCTTTAGCCCGAGCTCATTTTTCAATATTTGCCGAATGGAATATTGCGATATGTTCAGCTGACGAGCCATTTTTTCGGCCACTGCGACGCGGGTTTCGATCAAGTTGCTTCTTACTTTTCGAACAATTTCCGCTGATGTTTTCTGTTGTTGTTTTCTTTCGTTTACTTCCTTGACGTCGAATGAATTCAATCACGAATAACTTTTTTTCTGGAAAATTCTCACCAAAATTCTTTCGTACGCTTGTAAACAATATAATGAGCTGTCACTGGAATAATTTTAACAGCTGTCGGACGAGTGGCTTGGAAATGACAGCAGTCTGAAGTTGGTTGCAGTTTTTTTCATCTCACCTTGTAAAGTAAAGGAAGTAGTCGATATAGTCTAAATCTGATACGTTGTAATATTTATATCAGTCTTAGATCAAATACGAATTGGTCAACTGCTTCGGAACCTCCCCCACAAAGGGTCAACAGTTTGAATAATCATGGCTCAAGGCTGGGGCTGATACTATTTTATTTTTTTTTTTTTATTAGATACTTTTTTATGATGCGGTATTTAATAGGTTTCGTTCCCAACAATTTGACATTTTAGGTTTTATATTAAAAGTAGATCAATTTTTGTGTAACATCCATACATCAGGGTACCTCATGATTTTCGCTATTAGGAGACAAGGTTTACTTTTGGAGATAGGTTCATGATTTCTAACCAAATCCGCTATATTTCGGCATTTCTGGTTCCTTGTAGACAGATTTATTGCTCTATTTGATTTTCTGTAAGATTATTATTTATTATTATTTTCTTTTTATTCCAATTGTATAATTAACGGATATACGACATAAACATTTCGAATATCTTTACATAGTCATACAGTAGTAGCCAGAGGCGAATTTAAAGGAAAAATTTATTTCATTTGACAATTTTGTACATATACAGTAAAAAAAAAACAATATAAAGTTGCGAAGAAAAAAAAAACATTCAAAGAAAAACATATACCGGAACTCCTGGTTCGAAACGATAACATTTTGTGTAAAACATTAATTGCAACAAATAAAAAATGTGTACATATATAAATGAGTATTTGCCATAAATTCATGCAGTCGAGTTCGTGAACAAGCACTAGGCATTGTATTTAAATGGAGATATCCAAAAAATACGTATGAACCTGGTTTCTGTGCGAGATTTTTTCACAAATCTCAACCAAAAAAAAAAAAAAATGGCGAACAACATTACAAATAGAAATGACATGGTGTGCAAGAAGTTTTGTACTCTTCGAAAAGAAAACTACCACGAATAAACAAATTGAGTTCAGCACTTAGCATAGTTAGGAATATCTTTGTAGCACATCATTTAAACCAAATCTGAAATCGACTGCATATAGAAATACATTATTTAAACTAATACATGATTAGACAATGGTGTACAGTTTTGACGCATTATAGACGACATTATGGCCTCTGTGGTGATAATTGTAATATTCTTATTTATCCGTCTAACTTTATGCCAATCCTTGCGATCATCATTGCAGGAAATTAAGTAAAGTTTTTGATTATCCTTTGGAGCTGGGGTACCCTTGGCGTGGACAATGCCACCGGCAATTTCGATAATGGCTGAAACGAAAAAAAAAATTATTAATGAAAATAATAAATTATCGAAAACAAAAAAAATGAAAAAGTGGTTATTGTATATCATTTTATTTATAATTTCTAATGTGGATTAAAAAAAAAAACAATTTTTAAGGTTCATGTTTTTAAGAAAATTAAAACAAATTTTCTTTCTTTTGTTGTTGCAAAAATCGTCAGGCAAAATCCCATTATTGTTGTTTTTATAAAAACAACGTTTGTTTATTAGTGGAGAACGATGGTAATGTTTACCAGGGGGTAAGGCAGGGAATACCTAGGTTTCGGAAAGAGCCACCAATCCTCATCAGTTCCCTTGTTTCTTGTCTGGGATATTCTCCCCAGAAGTTATTTAAAAAATAACTTCTATGACAAAAAACATTTTTTTTACCCAAGTGACGAGATCGTAAGCTCAATAGAAGAGGAACAAAATAAATAACTTCTGGGGAGAATATCCCAGACAAGAAACAAGGGAACTGATGAGGATTGGTGGCTCTTTCCGAAACCTAGGTATTCCCTGCCTTACCCCCTGGTAAACATTACCATCGTTCTCCACTAATAAACAAACGTTGTTTTTATAAAAACAACAATAATGGGATTTTGCCTGACGATTTTTGCAACAACAAAATACTATGGTATCCCAAACAAGCAAGCCAAACACTGTTCAAATTTTCTTTCTCTAAAAATGTAATACAGAAATCATTAGAAACCTTAAACATTTTATTAAAAGTATTCATGTCCCTATATTGTTTAAATCCATATTTTTAGGGAAGTAGGTCTTCAAAAAAAAAAAAAAAAAAAAAAAAAAAAAAAAAAAAAATATATATATATATATATAATATTAATAAGTAAATAAAATAATAATAATAGTACATAAATAAATATATATCATTATGGTCTATATTTTTCAAGGAAGTGTGTCTTCAAAAAAAAAAATAAATAAATAAATAAATAAAATAAAAATAAATAAAATAAAAATAAATAAATAAAAGAAAATAAATAAAATATATGAATAAAAAATTAAAATCGACGTCCAAGAATGGGTCTTAAAATAAAAAAATAAAAAATTTAAGACCTAACAATTTCTTTAAAAAATCCATATTTTTCATAGATTAACAAGGAAGTGAAATGGGTCTTGTTCTTAAAGTGGACTTTAAAAAAAATAATAATAATTTTTAAGGTTCATGTTTTAAAGAGAATTAAAACAAACAAAGTTGAAATCTTAGAATTTTTATAAAAAAATTCGTATTTTTAAGTTTTTTTTTTACATCCAAATTTTTAAGGGAATTTGGTCTTAAAAAAAATTTGACGTCCAAAATGGGCCTTAAACAAAAAGTAAAAAATTCAAGGACTAAAAATTTTTTTGAAAAAGAAAAAATAAATAAATAAACTAATATATAAAGAGAAATATGTCTTCTTCTCAAAGTAGATTTTCAAAAAAAAAAAAAAAAATAAATAAAAAAATAAACAAGTTTCATGTTTTAAAGAAAATTAAAACCAATTCCCGTTCTTAAAAATATAAAACAGAAATCATTAAAAACCTTAAAAATTTTATTAAAAAAATGCATGTCCTTAACTTTTTTTAAATTTATATTTTTCACAAAAAAAAAACTATGCCGGGAAGTGGGTCTTCAAAAAAAAAAAAAAAAGAACTAAAATAAATAAAAATTGATGTCCAAGAATAGGCCTTAAAAACTAAAAAAAAAGAGGAAATTCACGTCCTAAAAATTTCTTTAAAAAATCCATATTTTTCAAAAAAAAAAAAGAAATATGGG